GGATACCTGGGGTAACAGTGAACAGCAGTATTTATAGTATTTGACTCTGAATAGGTGGTGCATGTTCCCCAGTTTTTTCGCACCAACACCAGTTCTGCAAACTTTCCTCGCAAAGACTAACTTCAGTGTCCACAAGGCTATCATATTGTCGTTTTTCGAGTTTTGAGGAGCCACGCGACATTATTTTTGGGTTCTCAGACAAAATTCTACCTCCGTAGTAATTCGAAAGGAGAGTGGCACTTCGGACACTGGAAAGAAATTTGCCGCGAATAAAATGTCGGCATGAAGATGCGCATTTTACGAGTACTCTGTAGGTTTCTGAACGCAAACGCTATCGTATTTGCAATATTAAGTCCGTAGTCAACGTTTCGAGGATCTTAAATTATATTTGACATCTATTCACCAGGATAAATGCATCACTTATTGCTATTAGGCCAATTCTGAGTCCACCTCCGTCGACTTCGCAGCCAATTTAAATAGCATTAGACAACTATTAGCAAATGGTAGTCGGAAGAGCAGTGAGAGTGCTGAGGAGAAAAAGTTGGTGTGTGACCAAAAAGCGCTGTACAGCTCAAAGAATTGAAGGGTGTTTCACTGAACATCTAACGGTGGGGACAAGTTCCAATTCATCAACGTAAAAGTGTTCAGATCGCAGGAGGAACGGCTAACATATTTGATAACACTGGATTTGAAAACTACAAGCTCGCTCCCGCTTGTGAATTAAACATTGTCCCAACTTTCGATGTTCAGTGAAAGTGACATCGACCGACATCTACTTTGACCCTTTGATTCTTTGAGCTAACAGCGGGTTTTTTGAGCGTACTTTTACCATTCAACCTTAGCCTCTCAGTTTCTTCTGACACCATTTTCTGACATTGTCTCTACTTTGTTGGTGTCGAAAGCAGTAGAATAGGCAGAGGATGTTTAATAGGAATAACACATCACTTACTAGAAACGACGTGTTTATATACTCACCGAAGACCACTAACTGGGCGTGAAAGTACAATATGTTCGGTTGCGATCAAAACTTATGGTCACAGCAGGTTAGAAGATCCTTTCGATATCTAGCAGGCAAGGTGATCAACTGATATCACCAACATGTGATAGGCATTCTTGTGGAGTCCGCCAAGAAATCGTTGCGTGCGCTTCATACTGACTGGTCATCCATCGTTCGTCGTTGTTGGCGTGACGGCGTCCGGTAGCTTTGAAGTTGTTGTAGTTGGCAAAGAAATTGGCGAATGCAAGTGGAACGTCTCGAATAGAATGTCAACATACTTTTCGCTGATGTATGGTCTAGCGTCGCAATGTCGCATTCGGAGCTGATTCGCATGTCATACTGGGGAAGGGGGGAGGGGGCTTGCGGCTTGCAGAGTGCTTGCTTAGTGTGTCTAGTGATCAACTGCCTATTGTAAAGCGTGTGTCCTATGGTTCGAAAAAATGGTGTATGAATAAAGTCGCGAGTTCGCAATTCTTAATTCGTCCTTTTTTCCCCCTTTTCTTAATTCGTTTCTGAATCGCTATCCAAAATGACGGAATTTATGTCGAAACGGCGACCTCAAAACTTCGTGAAATGCAGGGCCACTAAAGCGGGGGAGGGTCTTGTACATATAGTAGTGACCACGATAAGCAAATCATGCAATAATGAAGTTTCCAGTTCATTTTATCACTACTCCGTCTTGAATGAGACTAGCGATGTCAGTAGTCAGTGAAGTCAGTATATGCAGGCAAAGGCGAAAGGGAGCGACGTGAATCTTTATAACTGCTTCGCCAACTGAATGCACCCACCCCCTCGTTCATCCAATGAATGAAAGGGGTTCTGTTCTGCGGTGGTGCACTTGCCTATCAAACACGCGGAGCAGTTCTACCCGTCAGGCAATAGCGGACGATGTCTATAAGCGAAATGAAGTCATAATATGAACTACCTGTCCAAAAGTGCCTTTCCCCAAGAATTCCAACACTTCATACTGGTTACCATAGGGTGAAACAAGCACTTCATTTTTAATTAGCTGAAAAAAAAATGTCGCAACAAACACAACAAAAGTTGGAGGGGTTTATTCAGAGCGTAAAAAAGCCTCGTCTGGGAATGGGAGTGGTCACCTGTCGGTCAAAGACAATACCACTGAAACGTCTGAAAAAAGTCTAACTCCTGGGAAGTACCTGATACTCTCCTTCACCAGCTGTCTTCGTCCTTGTCGATTTCTGTTGCACAGGGATGAACTTGTTGGCCAGTTTGGCTGCCAAAGCAGACGGCTTTGAACTAGCAATGGACATGCTTGTCGGCTGAATAATTACAGAGTAGTAAAAAATACTCAAAGTAAAGACTGATCACAGTAGTAGGAAGAATCTCAGTTAGATAGACGTATTTTTGACAGGGTCGATCCAACACAGTCGAAGAATCTTTCATCTATTCTCGCCAATATCTAGGTTCAACCTCTTGCGCTACCTCGATGGAGGGCGAGAAAAGGAGGTTTCGCAGGTGATGGTGGTCCTTTGTAATGAGGGGGAGGTTTGGTGTTTGTGCAATGCACTCATTTCACACCTCTTTCTCTTACTTTGCAGACTCTCCTGTAGAGTGAACTCACT